GATGGCGGTATCAGGTCTCTGCCCCTCAACGATTAGTGAAATCCTAGAGGGAGATTTGCTCCGGCTAAATACCTGGGCTACAAAAAGTGGACTGGGTGTCAACCCTAGCAAACCGGAACTGATGCTGTTCACCAATAAAAAAATGCCACAATTCAGGCTTCCCTCCCTTAATGGAACGTCTCTCACATTATCCTCCGAGTGGGTGTCGTATTAGATACCAGGCTGAACTGGAAGACAAATATAGAGAGGCGGGTTGAGAGACCCTACACAGCTTATACATGTAAAAGAATATTCACTAGGAACTGGGGATTGAACCAAAGCTTGTCCTCTGGATGTACACGGTTATCCTACGACCAATACTAACGTATGCGGCGTTAGTTTGGTGGCCAGCACTAGATAAGCAATACCACGTCAGGAAATTAGGCAGTATACAAAGAGCAGCTTGTGCAGGTGCTACAGGGGCAATTAAGTCGTGTCCATCTGATGCGCTTAATGTAATCCTGCATCAACTACCCATAGAACTAAATATCCGCGAAACTGCTGCGTCTGCGGCAGTCAGACTCAAAGAGTCCGGCTGCTGGAGGGCGCTGCAGCACGGCCATAGTGGTATTCTTGACAAGCTTATCGAATCAGGGAAACAATCTGATAATATACCTCCTACGACAGATTGCAGGAAAAGCTTTCAGATGAAGTTTCCTTCAAGATGGGATTGGAGTAGGGGCAGGATAGTCGAGGAGAATTCCACTGAAATCTGTACTGACGGGTCTAAAATGGACTGCGGTGTGGGTGCGGGGGTGTTCTCTGAAACGCTGAATATCTCTCTCTCCTTTCGACTACCTGACTTTGCTAGCATCTTCCAAGCGGAAGTACTGGGCATCGAAAGGGTCTGTAAAGCACTAGAGAGGAACTGCGTAGGTATACGAAAAGCATACATTTTTTCAGATAGCCAAGCGGCACTTCTGGCACTTGCCACACCGGTAACAAAATCCAAAACAGTCAGAGATTGAAAATGTGCGTTAAGCTCGGCGGCATTGTCCACTCGGACTCATCAAAAGGGAACTGCATCTGCAATTCACACGTATGGCTGATACACGTTGAAACAACCTTTAAACCTGCAAAACTACGAGATACATATGGCCACACTATGCCAAGCCCAAGACAGAAGAACTTCTCAAGAGGTCGAGGAAAGATATAGTCAAATTAATAGCCACGATAACGGGACATTGGCCCATTGGTGAACATGCAGCTAGAATGGGCCTTCCGTATAACCCTCGGTGCCGTAGCTGTAATCTTGTGGGAAGTAAGGAAACGGTCCTTCACTATCTTTGCGAGTGCCCAGCATTGGCACAAATAAGGCAGATCACACTCGGGAGTTTTTCCATCCAAACTCTTGGGGAAATTTCCAAATTCACCATTACTAACCTAAATAGATTCATCGGAAAATCCAAATGGTTTGACGAACCCAACGAATCATGAAAGCAGATAAAATCAGGGGTCCCAGGGAAAGCGTATGAAAATGATGCTTTCAGCACTAATTGGGTCCTGGGAACATACCCAGGCGACGCTTCTACCAACCAACCAACCACTGGGGATTTGTAGGATGTACTCAACACGATTTTTACTTATTCAAAACAGAATGACAACGTGTTGAAACTTAAATAAACCAAACTTCACAAATAGATTGAAATAATGTAAATTTTACTACAAAATTTCGGTATAATATATGCCGCAAAGCGTAAAAAAAAATAAAATTGTGCAATAGCAATATCGGTAACCTAAAACTTGTTTCTTTGCACATATAAATATTTTCTACGGAAATTTCAACATAATGGTACAATTAAATTATGTTGTTATAAACTAAAGTATATGTATAAAGTTTTTTGTATTCTTTTGATAGAGTCAATGAATACAATTATTGGGAAAAAACATCAAATATCTAGTATTGGTTTTTCATTTAACTAGTTGAAGTTGAACTATTGCACATATAAATCTTTTACAGGGGTACATAAATGGGAAAGTATCATTCGATGTGGAAACATTTTCTCCTAGATTTCTAAATCGCATTGAATGACTGTTACTTTGTTTTTAGTTTTGGGAAAAGGTAATTTTTTAACGAAAATTTCAAGAATTTTTTTTAAATCTTGTACTAACTTTGGATATTTGATTGTTATGACTTTTGAAAGAGACTGTCCTATATAAAAAAAATTTAAGTAATCTACTTAGGTACTGCAAAATTAAATAGGTGAAAATCAATGGTCACATTGTTTTGAGATGAACTGTAAATTTGTATTTTAGTTGATTTGCAATACTTTTTACAGTTTCGAAATAAAAATAAAACGTAAACTTCATATATTATAAATATTAAAAAAATTTATTTTAAAGAAACGGGAGAGAAATAGTCAAATATCACCCTCATTTTATTTTGACTAGTTAGAGGTATACATGTACGTATGAGGTTAAGGCCTGGTGTAAGCTTCAACCTACCGAAAATAAGGGTTTCAACATTAAGCCAAGTTTTTGAGTGTCAATTCAAAATTCTCAGTGTGTTGTTTTTGTCTACTCGACTAGACTCACGACTTGTCCAAACCTTAAATAAGTTTATTAAAATTTTTCTAATTTCTCATTGATCGCGTTGATTTTTTTCATAAAAAAGATTTGCCGACCATACATGTGTGGAAGAAAATCCGTGAAAACATTGCCAAAAATCAACATAAAACTTAAACAAGTAAGAAAGTCTAAGTTCGGGCAGAGCCGAACATTAGCCCAAATTGTCCCAGATTATTATTTTTTTAGATTTTTTTGGTTTCACCTATATACAGGGTAAAAGTAGCGTTAAAGTAAAGGAAAAAATATGACTAAAACTTTGGGAGTAGTATAGTTCTTCCGATATCGGCCGTTGCCATATGACAACACGGGGCGTATTCCAAATGGGTCGTTGCCAATAAAGCCTTGTGGATTGCTATTTTTCCATATTTGTAATGCTTCCATTTAAACATCTTTGTGGAAAAACAGTTTTTTGTTGAAACTTGCTTGTTTACGAAACGTTTGGTATAAGTTGAAATCATAGGGATGCCGTTTTCTTCCGTTTCTCAGTGGATTTTATACTTCTACATATCGGCACCAAAATACTTCTACATATCGTCGTTTAAAGTACAAAGCCGCGCATCAAGAAAATGCAAAACCTCGTATATGAGGTTGCCTAAATTTTATAGGAGAGAGTCCTAATTAAAAACGGTTCTCTCTTTTAAACTTAATTATCTCTTCTCCTTATGTCTAAGTATCGATATTTTATTATAAATGGCTAAGGGCTTAATGTCAGGAGCTTCCGGTGACCAAATATCTTTTTTGTCACAAATTTCAGTTTCGAGGTTTTGCAGAACGACGATACGCGCTTTTGTACTTTAAACGACGATCTACATATTGGCGCTTAAACAATATGTTAGTGTTTGGCCTAGCTTCCCCTCCGAAATGCGGCGTGCGTGATTTTGTCACACAAAGTAAAGGACAGTTTTACGTCGACTCCGAACGGCAATTGTATTTTAATGAGAATCTGTTTCTATGACAGAATACACTCGGAGGTTTACTATTACCAACAGAGGGGCAACCACTATTAGAAAAAACTGGGCATGAACTCAGGCTCTGCGTAATGCTCTACAGCAGCCGCCATTACTTTTACATATGTATATTGCTGGTATATTCAAAATACTATCCCGGACTTCGGAGTGTATATATGTAATATAAAAAAGAATGAGAGGTACTATAAGAAAATATATCCAAAATTTAGAAGCAAATGAAAAAAATGCTCATTGAAAATAGTTCACATGTATAGATTAAAAGATAAAACTTAAGCGGTTACAGCGCTAAACAAAAGGAAAGGTTAGAAAAAATAGCAATGCGGTTTGAAGGAAACATGAAGCCAAAAAAATGCTTGTTTGCTTCGTTAATTCTCTGAACCTTTTAAGATATGGCACTCTATTATTTGTAGTAGTTTGCAAATATTCACTAATGGTTCTAAAATTGCAAACATTTTCGTGGAATGTTTTTCTTTGATTTCGAATTGAAAATACATTACGATCATATTGTACCAAAATAAGTGCGGTATCCCTGCATTTTGTAAAAGCCAGAAAGAAGCATAAACTGTATGAAAAAATTAAAGGGAGAAGTATACATGCCTTATATAAATTTGACTTATATGTATATTTGGCAAGTCTTTGTGTAAACAACAAAAAATACACATTTTCATTTCTTTGCCAGCTTGGAAAATATAGGCTTATTTTTACTTAAATGTGATATAAAGCTCATTAAAATGTTCTGTAATGTCTTGTTGTAAGTTTGTTATCATAGTTCTTTGTATTTTTATTGTCCACTAAACGTGAGTGGTTTCTATTTAAAAAGTTCTAGTAAATACAAAGAATTTCTTTGTTTTGAATTTGTTTCTTTATTATTTTTAATTTTTAAAATTCATACTTTTGACATGTATGTGAATGGCGGAGTGGCCGCTTTCCTTCTTTTCGGTGGGTTTTTATATTAAAAATGCGTCAAAATGGGAAAAAACCTCCTTGGTATCTCTGCATCTGTTAAGCTTTTTATGGGAAGATGTATGAAAATCCGACTTGCTATAATTTCATATGCTTAACAGTTTCACAACAGTTGGGCAATTCACAAGGTGTTGTGAAGTTATATTTTCCTAACAAAAGTTGTGTTAAAACACGACGGTTGTGAACACCTGTTACGATTATTTATTATATCTCAGCACTTAACCTCACATAACACCGAATAAACATAGGTTGCAGAGTTGTATCGTCATGTGTTATTTTTCTTCACAAAACAATAACAACATTTTTACAACTGTCGTGAAATATCATGACTTCACGACAAACACGACAAATACGACACCTTGTGAATTGCCCAAATATGTTTACAGTATTATTATTATTATTATTATTATGGGCCATATGCACCGCGACCTCTAAAGTGGTCTATTGTGCGTGGCCCCCGGCCTATAAGGGAAGGCTCTTAATGTAGCCTAGCACCTCCAAGGGCGTTTTGTTCCAAATTTCAAATGGATTAAGGGTAGCGCCACCAAAGTGGGCTAGTCTGCGCCTAGCGAGAGCATCACATTCACAGAGAATGTGTTCTGGCGTTTCTTCGTCCAGCTCACAGAAGCGACAGACGCTTGTTTCTGAAAGATGGATTTTACTGAGGTGGTAACGAAGAGAACAGTGTCCCGTGTAGTACCCAGTGAGAGTTTTGAGGTCCTCTCTGCCTAAATTGATTAGTTTCTTTGAAACTTCGTTTGAAGGGCAGATAAATCGTTTGGCTTGTCTTTGCCCTGGACATTCCATCCAATGCCTGTTGAACATTTTGTCTACCCAGTTATTTATGGTCCCCTTTATATGTGCTTTGGTGAGCCCACAAAAGGGTTCCGGACCATAAAATACTGCGGCAGCTCCCTGTTTCGCTAGGCAGTCAGCCTCCTCATTGCCATCATGTCCCTCATGCCCTGGTACCCATCCTAATAAGACTGTATTCTTGTCACCAAGAGCATTTAGGACATTGCGGCAATCATGTACTAGCTGAGAACTTATTTTGTGGGACTTAAGGGCCAGTAGGGCTGCCTGACTGTCCGACATAATGCAGATATATTTCGCTGACGTTCCCCTTCTGAGACATTCTCTGCCACAAATTTCTATTGCATGAATCCCCGCCTGAAAGATGGTGGGGTAGCTACCCATTGGTATCATTTTTTTAAAGTTCGGCCCAAAAATGCCAGCCCCCGTTCTACCATTTTCAAGCTTAGATCCATCAGTATACCAAACCTCCCCATTAGGTTTGGTGTATGGGTTCCCTGTATTCCAGAGAGCTCGATCTGCAATGTGTACCTCAAATTTCCTAGAGATTTCTAGTTTTGGAACCATTGCATCGCGCATTTGTAGTATGGGGCCATTAGCGAATTTCATTAGGACCTTCATGTGACCCGTCATATCTCCGATTTTCAGGTCGGAGGTGTTCGGGATTCTCAGTGCCGCTGTGGTAGCCTCCCTTTCTATTAAAATAGGAAAGGGAGGTATTCCAACCAGGGCGCTGAGTGCATCGGCCGGGCAGGTCTTCATAGCTCCTGTTATGCCAATGCAGACTATTCTGTGCAATTTACTTAGCTTAGTGCTTGCACCTCTTTGTGTAGCCTTAGTCCACCATGCTAAGGAAGCATAGGTTACTATTGGCTTAACGACAGTGTTGAATGACCAGTAGGTCATTTTGGGGGTAAGGCCCCATGTTTTACCAAAAAGTCGTGAACAGGCAAAGAAGGCCTTCATCGCCTTTTTGATAACAGTGTCCAAATGTGCATTCCAGTTAAGTGTTTTATCAAGAGTTACTCCCAGATATTTAGCTTCACTGGAAAATTCTATTTCTGTGCCGCTCAAAGTGAGTTTAGTAGTAGATAATTTCCTCCTTCGAGTGAATGGAACAATAATAGTCTTTGTAGGATTGATGGTTAGGCCTTTATCCTCACACCATTTGTGTGTGATGCGTAGGGCTTGTTGCATGCGGTTGGTGATAGTTTCGTCATGAAGCCCTGTTATGCAGATTACCAGATCATCTGCTTAGCCTTGCGTATTAAAGCCTTGGCTGTTCAGTGTGAAAAGGAGTTCGTCTACAACCATAGTCCACAAAAGAGGAGAGAGTACATCCCCCTGAGGGCATCCTCTTGTGGCTGTTATCGATTCTATCGTGCCTCCTAATTCCAACCTGATGTTTCGTGTTCTTAACATTGATAACACCCATTGATTTATGATTGGGCTTACACCCTTTCTTAACAAGGCATCTTTTATTGCCTTATATGATGTGTTATCAAAAGCCCCTGAAATATCAATAAAGGCGCAAAGGGCTATATTTTTTGACTCCAGAGCCTTCTCAATTTTTGAAGTAAGGCTATGAATGGCAGTCTCAGTGGATTTTCCTGGCTGATAGGCAAATTGGTTCTTATTCAGAGGTCGTTCCCTTAGGTTGACTTCTCTGATGTACTGATCCAGTATTTTCTCCATGCCTTTTAGAAGAAAGGAACTGAGGCTAATTGGTCGGTAGGATGACGGTAATTGTTCTGGCTTACCCATTTTGGGTAGAAACACGACCTTAACCTCAGACCATATGCTGGGAATGTGACCCAACAAGAGCGAAGCTCTATAGAGTTTAGAAAGGACCGGCGCTATGTGTCTAATTCCATGCTGCAGGAGACATGGATAGATTCCATCCGGTCCTGGTGATTTGTATGGGCTGAATGTTGATAAAGCCCATTGCACCCGCTCGACAGTGGACAGCTTCGTAGCAAGGCTTTGTTCTCTTCCAGAGGTGGATGTTGGAGCACCCAATTCTGGTCGACAGTAGCCTGATATACAGCGCGGGAAGTGAGTATCCAGCAAGAGTCTGCTGGTCTCACCCGGATGCTGAGTGTAGCTCCCATCTGGTCTCTTGAGGGTGCCAATTGTATTCCTGTAATCCCTTGTTAGAGCTTTTTGGAGGCGTACTGCCTCTGGAAGGCTATTTATTTCCTCACAGTGGTTTCGCCAGCTAGCTCGTTTGGATTTCCTTAGCTCCTTGTTGTAGGAAGTTAGCGCAAGTTTATACGGATCCCAATCACCCGTATTTTTTGCTCTATTGAATAGTCTTCTGGCCTGGCATCTCATTTGCTCAAGCTTCTTACTCCACCAAGGCACATCTCGTTTGGATTTTACCTTTCCTTGGGGGCAACTGCTGTTGAAAGCTATTACAATATCTGAGTGAAGCTGTTCAGCTTCATTCTCAAACTCCTGTTTGGTTGTAATGGGGTGTTTGGGGCTGTTTCCGCCCTCTTCTATAGTAAAGCGGAAGAGTTCCCAGTTCGTTTTCCTGGGATTTCTGAAAACTAGTTCGTGTTCAGGAAAGAGACCCATGTCGAATTCTATATGCATGTGGTCCGACATTGATACCTCCCCGGAGACACGCCAGTTTGTGACAGATGATGACATGTTTTGACTGCTTAGAGTTAGATCCAAGACCTCCCCCCTTAAAGCATTTCTAAAAGTCGGTTCATTGCCACGATTTATAATATTTATATTATGACTACTAATAAACTCGAGGAGGTACTCACCCCTTTTGTTGGTATCGGTGCTGCCCCAAACAGTGTTATTTGAATTGGCGTCACAGCAGAGGATCCAGGGTTTACCACTCTGCTGGCAGTGCTCCACGAAAGCCTTTACTTCTGCTGTTGGGGCCATCTCCTCCTCACCCGGAAAGTACGCTGAGGCAAGTACTGCCTCTTGTACACCCCTTGGAGTGGGAATTTCGGCCCAAACCGCAACCAGATCCGCCGTCATGAACTGTAATAGTGGAAGAAACGTTAGTTTTTTGCTTAATAGCATCGCCGCCCTTGGGCGAGGGCTGGGGGCATATATGATCTTACCATCATTGACGTTCAGACCTTTGACCTCACCGCGTAGTATCCAGGGTTCCTGGATGAAGGCTATACCTAGACCCTCGTTAGTGAACCTCCTGCAGAGAACAGCTGACGCTGCCTTGGCATGATGAAGATTCACTTGGAGACATTTCAGATGCCTCGAGTTTGCGTTGGGCTTAGGGAGAGATGGCATTATTTGCGGTCTTTACGGCCGCGAGCAGCCACCTTCTTTCCCCTATTTCTACCCCGCAAGGCCTTCTCCTCGGCTGTCCAGTAGCCGCTTTGGAACTGCCATGTAGTGGTGGCCTAATTATGTTCCGGGGGAGCTCAATGGGCCTGACATTTTGTTGGGCTCTGTCTAGCACCTGCTGCAGGGTCAGGACCGATGTTGCTGTGGGTCGCGGAGGCGATGTCACGCTGGCTTGAGCTACTGACAGCTCAGGCGGCGGCTTTGTCTTTTCCAGCTCCGGTGATTGCTGCTTCTGTGCTTGAAAATCTGTTGAGAGCTGCCTCGGGGCGACGGTGACAGACTTCGAACAACAGGGTTGTTCGTCCGTGCCCGTTCCGTCGGTATCAGCGGCGTCCTTTGCTACCACTGGTACCAACGGCTTGGCTTTTTCCCTCAACTTGACCGTACCGTAGCCATAGTTGACAACATTTCCTCTCTGTTTGAGGATGTCTGCCGAGATCGGGTCTACCGCAATGGTGATTTCTACCACTGTGGACTTGCGCACCCGATTTAGAACTCGCCAGTCCATTATTTTGAGGCCTTCATTCTGCCCCTGAAGAAGTAGTAGCGCGTCCTCATTCCTGGAGCTATCCAGCTCCGGGAAGAATCCCACCAAAATTATGGGGCGAGGCGTTTCTGTATTCGCTACCACCTTCATCTTTGCCCCTTTCCAGGGGGCAATCTTCGGAACTGTAGCCCTTATCCACTCCGCAGTTACTGCGTCCCTGCAGATAATGGATAACCATCCCGGACGAAAAGTGCAGCCATCAAAAATAGGGTTTACAGCGCTATCTTTGTTGCTTCTTATCGCCCTAAGGATGGCATTCTGAATAGCCCTCAGTTCGTCCGTCGACCAGACCGTAGCCGGATAGTTCTCGGGGACTATACCCAGCTTCACCTCACACAGTGCGTCCCTAAAGGATGCTGGTTTCACGGCCTTTCCGGCGTCTTCGCGAGGCAGGCTTGCCTCGGTCGTGGGCATTGTTACTGCCCCAGCCGGCTCAGCTCTCGCTGCGCCGTGCATAAATTTGGAGACCTTCTTTGGGGCTTGCTCCTGTGGAGTGGAGCTCTTTGATCGGGTTCTTTTAGCCGATCTCTCCTTTTGAGGGGGCCCAATGGGCTCTTTCGCTAATTCCCTAGCCTCCTCATAGCTCATACCCTTCTCCAAATAGCGCTTGAGGCGTTTTCGACCGGCTCCACTAAGCCGATCTCGCTCTCGAGTTTGGACGAGAGTATCATTACCTGTCGGAGAGGCAAGCAGCTTCTGCTCATCCTCCGGCGAGATATCAGAAAGCGTTTTGACGGGACTCGCATCCCGTCTAGCGCTGGTGTCAACCATCTCAACGTCATACTGTGGACTATGCGCCCCCGGTAGTTCTGTCGGGACAGTCCCCGTTTCGGCGGCTGCCGAAAGGCCATGCCCGGCCTCGTCTGCGAGCTGTTCAGCTCCATCTGTTTTTTTTTGTTATTGTTTTTTGATTTACGTTATCCATAGTGTTCCCACGAGTATGGGGGATAGTAGTACCGCTGGGACATAGCCCCCACTATCCCGAGCGGGGCTTCTTACAACCAGAGGTCGCCAGGTATCTGGAGGCCACCGTTATAAGACACACTAACGTAGTGCCATTCATCCCATAAGCACGGTACGGATGACACTCGGAATTACGGGTTTTATCGAGTTGTCTACAGTATCTCCCCATAATTTTTCATATGAAAAAATGTATTAAATATATGCATCCCACTAGACATCATTTAGTTCCTCATTGGAACATGTAGTCCCTCTATTTTAGCGTATCAACAGTTCATATGCCTTCATACCATGTAAATGCACCATATTGGATTAAAATCTGAATTAATATAAACATTGTGTATAAGGTTTAATACATTTATTGATAACAGGGATGGGCGTAATCAGGAAAATGAATAATTGAATAAAAAATAATAAGAATAAGTTTTCATTCATCATTTCAACATATTTGAATGACAAATAAATTTATATTCTTCATTCAAGCACTTTCGAATGATGAATAAATTTTCATTCATCATTCAAGTAATTTCAAATAAGAATAAATTTTTATTCTTCATTCAAACACTTTCGAATGATGAATAAATTTTTATTCATTATTCAAGTATTTTCAAATAACGAATAAATTTTTATTCTTCATTCAAGCACTTTCGAATGATGAATAAATTTTTAAAAATCTCGAAGTAGTTTCGTAAAACCCGAAATAGTCCCAAAAATTCCGAATTGGTCCCGAAAATTTCTAAGATCCCGAAATAGCCCCGAGAACCCCGAAAATCTCGAAAAAGTCTCGAAAAACCCGGAATAGTCCTGAAAATCCCGAAATAGTTCAAAAATACCAAAATAGTCCCAAAACTCCCGATATATTTTCGAGAACCCCGAAAATCTCGAAGTAGTTTCGAAAAACCCGAAATAGTCCCAAAAATTACGAATTGGTCCTAAACATCCCTAAGCTCCCGAAATAGCGCCGAGAACCCCGAAAATCTCGAAAAACCCGAAATGGTACCAAAAAATCCGAATTGGTCCCAAAAACCCCCAAGTGGTCCCGTAGATCCCGATATAGGCCCGATAACCCCGAAAATCCGAAGTTGTCTCGAAAAACCTGAAATAGTCCAGAAAATCCCGGAGAATTCTCGGAAATCCCGAAATAGTGCAAAAATCACGAGAACCCCCGAGAGAAAATCTCGAGGAAGTCTCGCAAAACCCGAAATAGTTAAAAAATACGGATTTAGTCCCAAAAATCCCGATATATTCCCGAGAATATCGAAATAGTCCCAAAAAAACCGAAATAGCCCCAAAAATCCCGAAGTAGTTGCGTTGCCTAAAAGAATATTATTTAGCTAAAAAAATCACAAATCAAAATGCATTTAAACTAGAAGTAATTAGTTTGAATAATTTCAAACAGGTGGCAATCCTCGTCAAGCGCCTCAAAAATATTCTAAAGATTTCTTAACGCTCTTTAGTTTAGCACCCATATATTGTTATTTCGTTCTTAGACCTCTATCGTCTGGCACCTATATATAATTTCATTACCCAATGTGCTTTAATTCACCTTAAACCTGATATTTTGAACAGGTGGCAGCCCTAGTGCATGTAGATTAGAAATAAACCTTTTTGAAAATTATTTCGGCTGATATCCTTCTTTTATTAATTTAATTTAATTTGAATTTAACATTTAAAACAGGTGGCACCCCTTTTTAAAAACCACATAAATAGTCTGGATGCTCAAAGCTCTCAACCCACTTTTGCTTGACACCCATGTTTTAATATTTCACATATTTAAGTAACTTCTGCATAATTTAATTACTTTCAATTTTTAAATTAGGTGACAACACTTCTTAAAATATTTCCAAACTAAAACCTCTCCCGCCCGACGCCCATACGGTAATGAATATTTCACCTATCTGCACTGCAAGAACAGTGACTATCATTTGACAAATCATTTGAGTAGCAAGACTGATAGATATTTCTGTCACTGGCTACAGCGGCGGATCCAGAATTTTCTGATGGGGGGAGGAGTTTGCGGGAAATTTTGCCCCTTATTCTAATTACCTTAAACGAGCAATTTTTGTGTATATGTATATGTATCCATACGTTTCTCGGCAACGGCTCTAACGTAGCAAAATGAAAAATCGTTTAAAAAAGACTTTCGAAGTTGTATTTCTTCCAATTGTCAAAAACTTTTTATTTGTCACGGGGAAAATACCGTAAAAATTATTTGTAACGTGCGAATATCTATAGAAATTATCAGGGTTTGAAAAACTGTTAGCAGAGCGACAACAGCCAAGCATTTGCTTTTTTATAAATTGTTGTTGCTTTGCTAGCCGGCAATTAGAAGTACCTGATGAAGATCTCGCAGAAGCAATGAGCTTAGCCGACGACGCTTTAAAGGAATTTGAAGAAACGCGACAAGATGCAGAAAAAACTTTAATTTGCTTTTCGAACACGTAGAAGAAGTATGCACCAACCTAGGTACAGAAATCAAAGTACCGTGATACAGCAGTCGGCAAAAGAATCGCTTTAATGTGAAAACCGGAGACGCCGAGGCATACTATCGCATTGCTTTTTACATTTCCTTCCCTGATACATACATTGCTCATTTGAAAAGCCGGTTCCTAAACCATAAATGAGTTTTAAATAATTTTAGTGTTTTGTTTCCAAAGTATGATTTTAACGAAAAAAAAACTGAAGAATTGTTTGCTTTCTATGAAAAAGTAATCGACTGCTCGAAACAAAACTTTCTCCTGGAGGTAAAAATGTGGAAAAAACGAGTTTCACACGAACATTTTCG